GCCATTTCCTTCTCCAGGGGACCTTCCCAACCCAGGGACTGAACCTGGGTCTCCCACATGGCAGGCAGAGTCTTCACTGACTGAGCCACCGGGAAGACCATTTTTGTTTTAGCTCACATTTGTACCTAATCCTCTGCTCTTGACATTGAGAGTCTGTTCTTTTTTCTGTTTCTTTGATCATTGGAGACTTATTTTCATGTTTACTTGCAAGCTTCTTTAGGACTGCTCTGTTACCTTCAGTTTTGAGGGTTCAAATGATTCCCTTAGTTGCATCTGTCCACTCTGCTCCGGCGTGACTCCCTTTTATACAGGGCTTGCAGTTTCTTTCTACTGTGAGCAGTTCTTCTAGTAGGGGTTGTTTACTACTGAAGCCCCAATGTCCTGGGTTGTGGAATTGTCTCTGTGGAGTCATTCCTGTGGAATGATTTTGTATTTGTCTCTTCCTATGATTTATGAGTCTTACTGTTTTGAACAAAGTGTACTATTAGTTTCTCATGTTGGGATTCCCATTCCTGGGGAATATGAGCCTCTTATCCATGGCACAGATTTGGTGCTCTTCCTTCCTAAATGCAGGTGATTCTTTTTCAACCATATCCATTGTACATGATCAACTTCTTTATAGCTTTTCAAGGCTGGCAAGCAGAGCTTGTAGGATAGAGTGCACAGCCCTTCGTGGCCCCCAGTTTTATGCAAAATTGAGTGCTGACTCTCATGGGTGTGGCATCTCCTCTTCTATTTCCTAACTTTGTTAAATTACAGCCCTCAGCCTCTGGCCTATCTGATTCTACTACTGCTGGTGAGTGGTTTTATCTCCTACTTATCCTTAACACTTTTCATTTTCTCTTACTTGGTTATGTATGAAAATCGTTTTTTATGTTTATTTTTTTTGGTTGTACATTGTTGCACATTTTAATATTTAACCAGGGAATTCTGTACTGTATCTAGTAATAAAATATTGCAAATGACTTAAATGTTTAGCAATAGTTTAAACTGCTGGAATAAATTATAGTGTAGTTGTGTGATAGAGTAATATATAACTATTACAAATCATGTGATTGAAATATCAGGTAGAAGTGATATCTAGGAAGTTTTACACTATAATATTAGGAAGTATGATACAAAACTATAGAATGTTTATTATGTAAAAAATAGAAACATGTAAGAAAAATATGTTTAAGAATATATTAGAATGTTAGGAGTAACTGGTTTTGTGGGATTATTATTGAGTTAGTTTTATTTTCTGTGGAGATAACAGAAAAGTAACTTTGATAAACATTCCTAGGCCATCAAATTCCTCAAGTAATAATAACAACAATATGTGTAGACTGGCTGTGCCTTAAAAGTAAAAATGGTTTCTAGGAGGTTTAGCTGTAAGATTTTCCCTATATTTGGGATTGAATAAAAAGTTTTGCAAGTGAATGAGGTACTTTAATTTCAAACTATTGTGAACATTCCCAAAGGGGTTTTATCCCTTGAGTTTGAATTAAATTAAAAAAATATTTATTTGGCTGTGCTGGGTCGTGGTGGCACAGCGTATGCATTCTTTGATCTTCACTTTAGAATGTGGGATCTTTGATTGCAGCTTGTGGGATCTAGTTCCCTGACCAGGGCTTAAACCTGGGCCTCATCAACTGGGAGCATGAAGAGTTAGCCATTGGACCACCACGGAAGTCCCTGGAGTGAATATTCCTAAGAAACAATCTTCATATGATTATCTAAGTTAAGTGTAAATAAAACTTGTAACTTAGCCAATCTTTGTTTTCATTAATGCACCAAGTACTAAATTTTGAATTTTAAACTCACTGAAATCAGAAACACTACTGCTAATTATTAGTGCATGGAATAGCATACATATTTGTACTCAGATTTTTATAGTTACCAATAAAAAGTTATCCTTTTTAAAATCAGCTGTATCAGTAAAACCTGAATCACTGTGTCCAGTTGGATATTTCATTTTCAAGAACACTGATGGGAATGCAGTTTTGAGTTGCATAGTTTTAAGAAGAATAACCAAGACAAAACAAAATTTATTATCCCTTGGCATCCCAGAAACAGATATAATAAAGAGATTGTTTCAGACACTTTACTGTCATTAGAGCACTTAATGTATTTCCTTGCCTGTGTACCTCTTAACCATGTTATCTTCCTGGAAATGCTCACAACTGCAACTCGTATTCTCATTACTGTGTTTGTTGAATTGGCTGCGATCTCTGTACCCGTTTGTGACCTGTTTTTCCAATGATGACTTTTCCTTCTCTTTCAAGTCATTCTTCTCATCAACGTTCTCTCTCCATATTCATTGCTGTTGTTTCATAGTCTCTTCTGGGTGCTTTCCCCTTCTTATTATGCATAGAAAGTGATCCTGTTCTTACATAATGGGGTAAACAGGCGAGGCTACTCACTCCAGTAGCCCCAAGGCTTCGAGAGCACTCTCCCAGGTCACCTGTTTCCTGTGAACACACCTGGACCCTTGGCAGTGGCCTGCCAATTGGGAAGCTTTGGATTATTCCACGTTGTCTCTATTTCATTAGGATTTTGTCTATTGGGTCTCAATGTTCTTATATGCTTCTGCTATTTTTGCACCTACTAAAACTTTAAAATTTTTGAATAAGTGAACCAGTACTTAAAATATACACAATTATTGGATTAAGTAATCAAACCCTCAAATGCATATAGCTCTTAAGAATAGTCATCACCTACTGGTCACTAGTCCTTGTCAGTATATGTAAGTGAATAGATGTGGCTTTCCTTAAATCACTGGCTGCTTATGGGTGAGTTGCCTTGAGTGATTAAGGGAAAATATTGTCAGTTGAATCTTGAAACCTTGAGGAAATTTACTTAAACTTTTATAAACGTGCACACGTATTAGATGTCGGCTTTATCCTCTCCCCTCTCTTTTCCTCTCTCCTGTCTTCTCCTCCTCTCTCCTTCCCTTCCTTTCCCTTCTTTTTCTCTTTTAAAATCTAGTTCTTTGAGCAATTTAAGGTTATGAAGAATTTATCACTTATTTTTTGAATTTCATTTTTACAATATAGGAGTTATTTATTTATTTAATAAGAAAAGAACTGTTCCCCATGTTCAAAACCATGTTATTCCAGAAAGGGATGCTACCCTCTAACTGGAATTTGTGTAAAATAAAGAAAAAGGCTCTTTTAAATAAAGGGGAGGCAGGAACACTTAATCAACAGTTTAGTTTGTTCTTATCCTTTCTTATAACTATATATATATAGCTATTAATATTATTACATAATATGAATTGTAACAGACAAATAAAATTTTTGCCTTTTTTGCCAACAAGATACAAATGGAACTGATACCCAAGTACAATTGTGATCTCCCTTTAGTTTCCAGATGGAATGATCTCTCCTTCCTTTATATGGTTATTTATCTTTTTACTTTAAATATTCCAGCTCATCTATCTTTTAATTAAATATTCCTTCAAATACTTTGTCTGAATAAGCAAGTTTGAATTAATAAAATAAAATAAGGACTGAGATAGATAATCATGAAGGTACCTTTGGACCATGAATATTGTATTACTTTGTAGTCATAGTATAAAAAGCATCAGATATTCAGAATTCTCTTATTTTTTAAATTGAGGATGATTTCTCTAGTACTTTATATCTTAATAAAAATGCTCACCAAATTTGCATTCTTGTGAGATAGTTCCTCTTCAAGGTAGAGAACGCCTAATTTAAGATTTTGGCTCTTCATGAGCATTTCACAAACTCTAAAATCTGTGGGAGCAAATAAATAAATAAATAAAATCTGTGGGAGCATCTTTCTCAGAGCAAAACATATAATAATTTATAGCAAATAATACTAGCTATAATTTGATAAAGGAAAAAAAATCTTAGATAAGATCGTTGTTCATTGGAATGCTCTTGTTCTATCTTGAAAAGACATGTACAACTCCAGTTGTGAAATACTCTCTTGGGAAGCAGATTCTACTTGGGTAAAAGTGAGAAATTATAGACTAAGGCTAAGGGGAGTAATCTGGGTTGTTTTTAAAGAGCATGGACTTTGGAGAGAGAGAGACATGGATTCAAATCCTGAGTTGCCAGTTGTCTGGTGACCTGGCCTCATGTAATTTCCAGAACTATTGACTCAGATTTTATCTATGAAAAGAAGAAAATTGTACTTGTTGGGTTGTTCTGAGATACCAGGTATATAGTTCAGTACCTGGCAACTGGTAGATTCCCCAGAAATGGCAGCTGCTATTATTAGGATCGGGAAAAGTGAAATGCTGGGCTGGATGAAGCACAAGCTGAAATCAAGATTGCTGGGAGAAATATCAATAACCTCAGATATGCAGATGACACCACCCTTATGGCAGAAAGCAAAAAAGCTAAATAG